TTGTCTTGTTGTTTTTGTCTGCATTCGCCAATGCTGTGTTCGTATCGTCGGCAATAGTTGCACCATTTTTTGAATGATAATTTACTTTTAAAATTTGGGTTTTTCCCGTAGATGTTTAAGACTTCAGTGATTTTTTTAGATAATTTTTTCGGAGTCATGAATTTGATTTATTTGTGAAGTAGTAGTTTAGATGTTATTGACATATTGTAGCTTTAGGTTTTCTTCTAGTTTCTTAGTGATTTCTGCTTGTTCTAGTTCATCTACTAGCTTCCCAAAGTCTAAATCTGGTTCTCGGATTGAGGAAGGATGTGGTGCTCTCATTTTTATTGCTTTTTTTGTAAATGAGGTGAGAGAGTCATCATTAGGATTTGTGTCATCTTTGTATTTTTATAATCTTGGTTATTGACTGAATATGCTTTTTGAACTAATGTTTCAATTCCTACTCCAAGTTGTTTAATTGTTTCATTGGGTAGTCTACGATTTTCATTGCATAAAATTCTTTGATGTTGTTTGTTTTGTTCAGAATCAAACATTTTTGAGAATTCTTGTGTGAATCTTTTCCCATCTGATTTTATTTCTATAGGCAAAACTGGAAACCATTTTTGGGCTGCGCCGTCAAGTGTGGTTCGGGTTGAAGCTGTGCGTTTATGTATCCAATTTTGATGAAGCGGCGTATTTACTGGTTCAGGTCCTGAATATAAAATTAAATTGGCTGTGACTGCATTGAGATAATCTTCTAGAGAGTATTCTGGGTCTGTGAATGTAAATACCATTATTGGTTCATTCGATGATATTGATAGTTATGGATTCCTAGGTATACATTCAATGTCATTTGTAGTGATTCTCAGGCATTTGGTTTTTGAGTAAAAATTTGTAAGTTGATTTTTTGTTATTTCATGTTGTTGTAAATAAGATGGCAGTGGGATTTCGTTATGCATTTGGGTTTTTTGGTAAGACTGTGTATTTACTGGATTTTGTGTTGAAATAAATTTTTGTATGATGTTGGATTTTTTCTAGGTTGTCGTATTTGTTCATCTCATTTGTATGGTTCAAAAGTATCTGGTTGATCAATGCTGTGGGAACGAAAGCTTTGGCTTGGTTAGATTTGTTGATGATTTTGATTATAGTTTTCCTCATCATCTGATGGAAAATAATTAGCTGTGTTATAAGGAGGTTGATTTCTAGTCAGGTATATTTTTATATTATTTTTGTTTTGTTAAAAAAATGGGTAATTTTCACTGCGATCTTGTGAAGAGTTTGAAGCTGGTTGAGTTATGTTTTGACTCTGTGTATATAAGTAGTTCTGAGTATTCGTATTAGAGGATTTTGTTGTTTTTGATCTATTTATATAGTTTTAATTATGTTCTGCGAAATTATTTTTATGTGATGTTTTTGTTTACATGATGGTTTTGTTACTGGTCGAAACGTTTGGTAATCCCTTTGCGAGTATTTTTGAGCAATAGAGGGTTTTACCGTGGATTGCGTAATTGTTTGTTGTAACGTTGGGTTTTTTAGTTTTGGGGTTGTGTGATGGAATGTTTTGAGCTGATGAATCGCCTTGAGGTTCTTTTAATTCTAATATAGATAGATAACTATAGACTTGCAAGATAACTATGCAAGTGAAAATGCAACGTTTGTTATTATTAAATTTGCTCTTTGTGAGTTTGATGTTGTATATTTTTTATGTATTATGTAAAAACTTTTGAAAATTCCACATCTACGTCATCTGTTTGAATGAAGTATTTGCCATGAAATGCAATTGGTGAACTGATTTTGATTGTGTAGATTCCTTCTTTTGGTGTGAGACTACATATACCTTTTAGATAGTGGTCAAGAAGTTGTCTTTTGATTTTTACATAGGGAAATTTTTTTGTGCATGGACTATCTCTTTTTTCGAATAAATTTGCGATTGAATTTTGGCAAAATTGAATTTGTACTCTATTTTCAGTTTGTGGATGTATATAAAAATGGGAGTATGGAGTCTTCTAGAATTTCTTCTTTTCGAATCATTTTTGTGCTTTATTACTGTTAGCGTGTAATTTTCAATGTGTCTTTTTGGTTGATTCCTATTGTACAACTGTACTGGTTTCTTTGTAATGACTTTTTTGTTTTACATTTTCTTGTGATTGATGTTGGTGACGTGGTTTCTGAGCCAAGGAAATATAATTGATCGTCAATTTGATGGTTATTTTTTATTGAGTCTTTTAAATTGCGGAGTTCTTGTATTGCGCTTGATTCTGAGACTGCGTTTCTTCGCTTCAAAAATCGTTTCCTAATAATTTGTTTTTGTTTGCTAATAACTTTCTTTTTTAGTGTTTGTCTTTTAGTTCTTATGTATCCTATTGTTTGTCTGTGTGGTGTGGTTACACGGTCGTATCTTTCGTCGTTAATTATACATTTGTGTAATATAATTGATTGTTTATTTCCTAAACTGTCGCTTGACATAAAGTTTAGGATGATGGATGCAAGATTGGATTTAGTGGTTTCTAATGTCTTAAATTGTTAGTTCTTACGATTTTTTTTTGGTTAGCTTAACTTGGGTCATGTATTGTAGGGTCGGAGAGAAAAGCATATATCGATTCGTGAGAATGATTTTTACTTTCTCGTGGCTAATTTTAAACTAAGATAGACTTACCTAATCTTACTGAGGGGTAGTGATTTGTGATCAAGAGTTGCAAAATAGTAGATCGATCCACAAGGTTCATGTATAAATAGAACACAAGTAGTTCGTTAGATATTATTTTATGACTTACTAAGTTTAAGTGTTTTAGCCTGGGTCGTTTAAGAGGATGGGGATCAAGTGAAGTATGAGTCACCGAAGTTCTTCATTGTTTATCTTAGTTAGAATGGTTAGTTTTTGAAACATTTCTGTTAATTCTGGGTCTTTAATAAGGGTTGAGTAGTGAATCGACGTCTGAGGTCGTTAGACACTAATTAATTTGGTAGGGGTAGAAGAAAATTATTCTATTCGATCCAAGGATAAGCGTTGATGATCAGAAGTTTAGATTTAGTTTAATTTATTTTAAAAACCAAGGGAAGCCTTGATGATCTGTTTTTTTAAATGAATTTAATTTAAGTGAAAACAAGGATTAGCTTTGATATTTTTCATTTCATAAAAGTTTTAGTTAAAAGAGGCTTTAGAGTTATGTTTTGATGTTGTTCGTTTTTCAAATGTGCCGTTAGGTTTTAGGTGTTGAAGCTGGAATGAAGGAATGATTTATATTTACTAACAATTTATGCTTTGTACTAACTATTTTTTTGTATTTTTATTTTCAATAAAAATCTTTCCAAGATCTTTTTAGTTTACTGCAGATTTTTCAAGGAGAACGACTAGTGTTGTTTCTATCGTTCGTTATTTTATAGTTATTAGGTTTAGCGCCATATAAGGTTATTGAAGATTTTTCAGTAAAAATTTATGTCAGTAGATGAAAATATAAATTTACTGCTAGAAGTATTCGAAATATGAAAGTTTGATCTGATTTTTGTCCTACAATCATGAAATCGATTGGTAGAATTCTTCCTTTTCGTTCGTCGTCTCTTGTCTGAGGTCTTCTTCCAATACCGGGTAGTTCTCGTTTTGTTCAGAAAATTGGCTCTGATCTATTGAGTCGTAGAGACATTTCTACTTGTAATCTTGTTTTTAAAATCTTGTAATTGTCTAATTCTAATCTAATGTTTTGGTCAATACTTCTAATCTAAGTTGGCTAAGGTCTTGCTCGAGACTTTTGGTCGCACCAGATGAGTTATAACCAGTAGATAATACTCATAGAGTAATTTCAGATCAGGTATTTTGTCTGCTCGTCATCTTGTTTTCGACCGGATAGATTCGTGCAACTTCTAATTCTATTACCAATCTTAATCTTACTCTTTTATCTCCTAGTCTCAAAAGGTCTGGTGTATACTGGTTTATATGAGTCGGTCTCTTTGGAGAAGGCAACTATATTCTATGTTAAATTCAAATCTCCTTGGTGCTGAAACTACAAGTAGTTTCAGCACTTACAAATAAATGGGTTGTTAGTTTGATGGAGTATGGTTGGTTAGTATTCAGTATTTTATAGAGATAAAATATCAGATTAATATCCAATAATAAAATCTAGTTTAGATCTGGTTCCACATTTTTGAATTACTGATTCGGTATTTATCAAAAGAAATAGAGAAAGACTATTAATTATTTTTTTTTATCTTGAGAAGAAAAAATGATGTCCATGGCTTAGCTATTGTCACAAGAGATTGACAAAAAAATAATATATTTTTTTCTGTGATCCAGGACATAAGAAGAAAAATTATATATAAATTATACGAAAAAAAAAACTCGAATAGCTGAAGTTATTAATATTACTAATTATTATATTGATTTCAAATGAACGTGGTGTGAAAATAGCCTATCCCAGAGCAAAAAATTCAATAGTTTGAAAAAATTAAAACAAATTACCAGGAAAAAAACAAGAAACGGCATGTTTTGAATCAGGGCAAACCAAGAGAGTAAAATTTTTTTCTCTGTTGCCTCGTCAGAGCGCATAGTCCATTTAGAACAACCAATCGTTTAGTCGAAACGCATCGGCTGAATAAGCCAATTAATTCAAGATATCATTTTTTTTGTGCTCCTACTAAGAAGCTACAAAACAGATTTAAAATAACCTGACTACAGCCAAAAAAAAATTCAAAAAAATGGCTAAAATTAGTGATGAACTGAACTTAATTTTTTGTTGGTCGGATATTCATAAAACCTATAATTCCACGTAGACTACTGTTTTACTATTGCGTCTTGTTTTTAAAATGATTCATTTAAAAATTCAGTTTATTTGGATATTATAGTTATGGTTTCAAAAGTTTTCTTAAAATGTATTTACATTTCAGCATGCAGTGTCCGTTTCCAGAAACATATTCGATACTTGCTATAGGCAAACTTTTTACATTCTGATTTACAAAAGGTTCAATAGGTTACAAAAGGTATAATTACCCTTACTAAAAAAAATACATTGATATAGGTGGAAACTCGCCTAAATCTACTGCGTATCCGATCACAGACAGGAGGAAGTCCGCCTTGGTGCCCCAACTGACTCTGTCGTCACAAATGTCCTTGAGGTGTTCACTCCCGAAGCTCCCGCTCATCGCATTCTTCCCTTTCCCCTCACCCTCACCCTCACCCTCTCCCTGGTCCATTCCGAACTCAATGATCTCACTAGTCTTTGCCGGGAACATCGAGTATCTCTCGGCGAGGCTGTTGCCGGTGCCTGTCGTTCGAACCCGCAGGTCCAGAGGGTCCTCCGAATCGTTGTCAATCACAGTCTCTCGGTCTCCAGCAAAGAATACTGGCGAAAAGTGTTGCGTTGGTCTGTCGGCCATCTTGATGTGTCAGCAAAGTATTTAAAACGTTCAGAGGAAACGAGCAGCATTTGCAATTTAAAAAATGATATCTATGCCATTACTTTCAAACTGAAGGTGACACCATTTGTTAGGTACTATAAGTCTTCGTAGAGCTTAAAGTTTTATGCCGCAAGCTAAAGTTTTCAAAGCTCATAACTGTTACTTTAGAGCGAACATAAACTGTGAGTGTTACGATTAAATTACACGCACTCACTATTGAGACAATTTTATTAGGCAACTTGACGCACCTGGTAAAAGTAGACGAAACTGCCAATGGCTACAAGGGATCTATATTTTAAAGATATAAATGGCACAATGCTCCCAAGAGACAGACTAACAGTCCCCAGGAAGTTTTTTTTAGAATCAAAAGGAATATTTTGAGTTGGCATAAGCGGTCAAAAAGATTTACTACCCAGTCAGATTCACAAGTTTGGGACTTAAGGCCTTAGCGTGAACAAATTGCGAATCTACGGAATCTTAAGAACTGTGCCAACAAAACTTAGTCAACAATTAAAGGGAGCCTTGTTACTCCTTCTACCAACAGACTCCTTTAAATCGATGTCGCTTAAACTAGTTTTGAAAGAAAACTGATTTTTGGGCCAGGTTACAATGACGTGCTCGTATCAATGTTGTATCTGTTCTTTATAACCATTTCCATAGTCAAATTTCTCGCCTTTTCAAGAAAAACTGTTTTGGGGAAACAAGAACAAATAACCGTATGTCATCAAAAAATATATTGGGTCTATTATTATTAATCTATGGAGAAAACAGTTACTCCGAAATAAAAAAGCCACAGCAAACAATGCATTCATTCATTTTCTCTAGGTGGGATCGCTTTTTAAAAAAAACTCGAAAATCTTGTCGACCGTTTTTTTTAGTTCGACCACGAGTTCTTCCATATCACAAACAGACCCTGTTTTGGCCATCATTTTGCACCGCAGGCAAATTTTTGAAAAACAAACCGAAAAAAAACGTTTTTTGAACACTTTTGACCGAAAAATCGTAGTTTTCGGCGTGTGTTCTCCCCTCAAAATTATATTAGTACATAAAGATGCTTTTAGAAAAATTTTAGTGTCAGCCAGCCAAAAATGGAGTTTTTAAAATAGTGCCAAAGGATCCTAGAGAGGGAAGCAGCGTCCGCCCACCCCCACTCCTCCTAAATCTGCCACTGCAATTATTCCTTTTCTTTTACTCTCTTTGCTCCCCCCCCCTTTCCCACGCTTTGTTCCTTTACCAAAAAACACACAATATGTTGCCATGAGTTTTTTTGGTAGTTTATAGAGAAGTATAAAGAACGTACCTGAGATGTGAGTCTGCTCTAAGTTGTTCCGTGCTGTGCTAGTTTTCTCTAGTCTCATAACAGTTTTTGCACTTAAGAAAAATCAGCAGGAGTAGTTATGGAGTTGAACAACTAACTTAGCATTTTAGATTGTGGTTCCCAGATAACAGTCGGGCTAATTACCATTTTGGGTTACCATGACAACACAACGCGTGCGATAGTTCTGTGCTCCGAATCTGCAGTTGGCGAGATAAAAGTGTTGCCAGAATCTTCAAGTGGAGTGAACTGCATTTAAATGAGGTGCATTTCCAATACAACTCGCTGATGAAAACGATCTTTGTTATAATGCCTAACAGTTTTATGTGAGCCATCCGATCGGTTCAAGACTCTAATAAGTATAGAAATATCAACTCTAGTTAAGTTCATTAGCTAAACAATTGGGAATCACCATTATTTCTGTTTAAAAAAAAACAGGAGAACTGGATATTAGATAAAAACCACTAAGTGTAAATATCTAGTATAGATTAGTGTATATATAGTTATTAGTGTAAATATCTATCAATAAATACTATTAAATCTGCAATTAAATCGGCTATCTTTGAACAAAAACAAGCGCTAGAAACTCGACAACGGATTTTATAACAGGCCTTATAGTCGCAAACAAAGTTTAAAACATCGAGTTTTGGTCGCGATAGTCTAAAAAATAGTCGCGATGGTCTTAAGACTGGTAGCAATAGACTGAAAATGGGTGCCGATAATTTAAAAATTGGCCACAATACAAATTTAAAATGGGTCGCGACAAACTAAATCTTGGTTGCGAAAGCTTAACATTAGTCGCAAATGTATGGTCGACAAAACATTTTATAAACGATCTCTTTGTTTCTTGATTCAAAATAGGAATGGACAATGGTTAAATTAATGGGTGGATAGGTTGTTTCCTTCTAATTCCAAAATCAGCCACGTATCAGGGAAAGATATTGAGCTTACCAATCTTCATTCGAGATTTCTTTCTGGAAAAACCCTTCATATCTCACATGACAATCATGAATTCTTAATCTCAAGCAGCATCAAGATTAACGAGAGTATATTCACAAATATTAAATAATAGGTTTAGAAAAAAACTGAGAACTGCAGAAAAAAAAACGAAAAATACAATGAAAACTCATTGAACGCTTGTAAAAGTAACACTCAATTCGAGAACATACATCCGTTGGGTGGAAAGTGCGAAAAAATAAAACAAACCGAATGTTCTTTCTCATGCTTAAATACTTCACCGACACAAATCAAAATTTTTATTCGAACCAATCTTGCTGAGAGTTGTGTACAAGCATTTGCACGCTTTGTATTTTTGAAATTTTTTTAATTAAGTTTTTTTTATCAGAAAAGTGTTATTTTTGTTTTCTTTCTTCAATTTAATTAACAGTGTGCTCTAACAGTGGCTCTAATCACACAGTAGTACCCAATAAAGGGCACAAAATCAAGAAGTCAGATTTAGCGTTCAGACCAAAAAATTCTATTGTTCCGACAAAATTCGGTTGTAAGAGTCAACCATTACTTAATTTTCTGATTTAGCAAGCAAGAACAAAACAGTACCATCACGAAGAGACAGGACAAAATTAGCTTTGTCGAAAAAGAGGAAAATATCAACAAAAGATCACTCTTTCATCAAAGATTATCTTTGCTTTCTCTCGGACACATCTTCTTACTTAGTTTTCGGTCACTGGGGCAATATCTTTTGCGTCTATATGGAGAGAATTCATTCAACATTTCCAGTATCCAAACTCTCATCTCTAGTATCAATCTTCCGGACGATCAGCAGTAAAAGGACACTCAGAGGACACCATCAAAGTATACAGCGGAAAACCCTATTTCATTTGAGAACTTCCGGGAGTCTTTGGAGAGAGACTTTTTTTAAATAAAGTTGCGGCGACTGATATATTGGTAAATTTAGAGGAGGAGTCTGTTTTAACACAAATTTAAAACGTATATTAGACAACCACTACGTTAGAATCTTCCGGACGGTTCTAGCATTATGCGGCCGAAATTTTTATTTATGCATCTACTGCCCTGTTTTTTCATTTGAGCGATTATGGACCAAAAAACGACAAAATCACTGCTGATACTTTGTAGAGTTCGTAGGATTTCTTTGGTTTTCGGTGTGAGAACATGTAATGAAACTTGCTTTTCGTGAGTTTATTGTGAGCTTCAACTCCTTATTAGATATTTGCTGTTTTTTTGAAGTCCCTCAGACTTTTGACACCTCGTTATTTGTATAGAAGAGATATAGTTTCAACTCAAATATTCCAATTTTAATTTTTTTTATCGTTATATTCTCAAGTAGTTGAAGAGTGAGCAGAGGTGGGGGGAGTGGTGTGGTGGCTGCAGACCCCAAGTGTGAAAAGATAATGTATAGATGAAGACCATGTAAAAAGACCATGTGAAGACCATGTGAAAAGATAATGTATAGATTTTGCTACGTATTAGAATTAGCAAACAGAATGAAAAGTATAAAGATAGGAAATAGGTATTCCAAGGTTTTAAAATGGCGAAAAGGTTTTCCCAATGTATAAAGATTAGTCATACCAAGTTACAGATGGTAAGTTTCAAAAAGTTTTTGGCGTTCAATTTTTCGATGTATTAGGATAGTGTATAGATTTCCCTATGTGTTACTAACAGAAAACCAGTTTATTAAGATATGATATAAGTTGTCCAATAAAAAAAGGTTGAATATACTTTTTCGACGTTAAGATGGTATGTTTCGGATAGTATATTAAAAAAAAATTGAAATATTTTTGGTCTCCGATTTTCCCGTGTGTTAAGATAGGGTAGGGATTTGTTCATTTTTTAGGATGGGCCAGAAATTTCAATGTTTTAAGAAATGGTATAGATTATGTATTGTTTTCAGTATGTAATCTTTTAGTATCATAAGAAAATGGTAAGAAAATTGAGTTTTTGGGAAGAAATCTCAAGTTTTCGAAAAAAGTTCAAAAAAAACAAATTTTGGCAAATGTTTTAACTGCTTCTCTCATAACTGTGAATTATCAATGAATTTTGTAGGTACAGTATAAAACGAAGCCTCATATGTATGTTAAATGGTATCCTGTCAAGACAAATACACGGATTTTCCATAAAACTTTTTTTTTCTTCATTTTTCCTTAAAAATTGGAAACACGATAAGACTTGGTCTAGTTTGAGATCGTTCGTGTACTATGTACTGACTATCAAATTAGCTGAAATTAAGCTGGGATCTAGGCCTTAACAAGCTTTTGTATGCTAATGTATACTTAAGAAGCCCTTTTCTCCAACTAAAGGTAAAGTTAAATTACAAAATCATTTCAATTAAATATTCTTAGCAAAAATCCTTGAAATTTGTTGAAAAAAGTTTATGATTCAAAATTTTCTCCGTTTTTTTGTGGATATTATTAAAATCAATACAATTTTTGAGAAATTCCAACATTATTGCTGAGCTGAATTAAACTCTCTTTTTGTTCAAATTTTTATCGCATTTAATATTTTGGTTTTATATACGGAAAATTTTTGAGGCAATTTCAGAGACAATCTTGAAAAACTACATTTTATATTTAGAAAAATCATTCAGATTTCGAAGAACACACTTTTTCTCATAATCCACATATTTTTGCGTTTTCGTTTGTAGTAGTTCTGAATCGATCTTGGTTAAAGCTATATACAAACATATTAGAATGTGATTATATTTTAACAAAAAATTTCATAACTTATCATAGTCCCTCATTTGCTTCTACAACATTAAATATCAACATTTTTCCAAAGAAGTTTTAAATTTTAAAACAATTCTTGTTTTGGGTTTTTATTTAGTTTCTCGCTATTGAGCTCACTTTCCATGAATTTTTAGGCAGAATTGGCGACTTTAGAGAATATAGAAAAACTCTATGGAAAAATGTATCAATAAACTGAACGTTTTTGTCTTCGAGTTGCTTACTTCGGAAAAAACCTCAAAACATCTGAACTAATATGTAAATTTACTCAATTCATCGAAAATTAACAAACACTCCATTAAGTTACAGATAATTATACATAGTTGACTGA